TATCCCCTACAAATTTTTCATATCAAAGCACGGCGAAGCAAAGCTGAAATGATGGCAGTTAGCTGAACACCAGTTATTATTAACCACGTGGCAGAACTCCCCACTTCGTCTTGTGCATAATGGAGTCCAATCAGAACCTCATTCAGAGCCGGTCTGGGTATATTCTGACTCAAATACTTTTTTTTCTCTCTGTTTTTGCTGTATTAGGCACTTTCTCTGCAGCCTTGAAAGCTGAGCTGGGATGCTTTTAAAAAATAAACACTGACGACTCGCATTTTCTCAGCAAGTTCACTTTTCTCATTTTGGTTCCAATTTAGCTTGAAAGTGGCTTTTTCCTAAATTATTTTCATGTTTTTCTTGTTTTCTTTTTGGCTTCTTGTACCTGAGGAACTGGCTGTCCATCAAGTCGTTTATTTTCTCTTCCTGGGGTCTGTGCTCTCATGTACTCCAGAATAATTTAGTCTCAGAGAGGCTGTTTGTGCTGAAAAACAAAGGCAAGCAATACTGTTTTTGTCCACGTTTGTCTTACAAAAAGATCTCATGAACCACTGGATGAGTTTTAATGAAACTTAAAAAACGAATTGGTTTATAACCGATTAATTTTTTTCATTCAGTCCAATTCAAGATGACTATCAGCTAAATGACATTAGCCAACACAAAAATGGTTATAACTTAGTCAAATTTACAAATACTGGGCCTCATGCAAGAACATGTTCGTATTCTGATCCTAAATTTCTCTTACTTTTGTTCGTACAAAGGGTTCGTACGAACATGTCACGTCAGATTCAACAAACTCTTCTATCTTCAGGAAAAGTGTGTAAATGAGCTGCGTAAATTCCACCTGTTCGTATCCAGCTGCTCGTGCACGAGAGAGGAGATTAGCATAACTATCACCCCCAAAAACACCATATAAAGCTATTTTTCCTGCCTCAGATATCAGGAAGTGTCCAATCAGGAAAACTAAAGCGAAAACTAAAAAAAAAGGAACTTTACGAGTTCAGAGATTGAAGTCCGTCTGTCAGAGATCCAAAAAAGAAAATCTGTCATTTTAGCAGCGT